CACGGAACCTCGCCTAGCCCGTCTAGCCAACCAGCCAGACCAGCCAGCCACGGACGTGTCTTCCATTCGCAGTACCCTTCACCGTCGTCGTGCCGTAACTGCACCACGACGTAGGCAGCAGCAGCAGCAGCGAGCGCGACGTATACCCACCCGCTCGAACGAACGAACGAACGAACGAACGAACGAACGAACGAACGAGCGTTCGCCTCGCTTGCGCGCCCTCGTTCAACCAAATGAACCACCGTGCCGACGAAGGCCGAGTCGAGTCGAGCCGAACCGAGTCCAACTCCGAAGTTGCAGAGTTGGCCGCGCGCTTCGCAATCTCCCGCGAGTGCGCAAACTTCTACCACCACCGCCACTTAGAGACGCAACGCGACGCGACCGAGACGAGACGAGACGAAACGAGACGAGCCACGGAGCTCCCCCACTACACCCTCTCGCGCTCTCTACCCTGGTGAGCCTCTCGCTTGCTCCCCCACCCCCGCACCCTATGCAACGCGTTCCCCGCGCATCCCCAGCTCGCTCGCGCGCTGTCCTGCTCACTACCATTTCTCCCCTCTTTTTCTCTTTCCGTCCCGTCTCCGTCTCTCGCATGTACGGTCTCACTCCGTCATGCGTTTGAAACCCCCTTGGTCCCTCGCTTCACCGTATCCATATGTTGCTTCTTTCTCGCGTTAGCCCCTGCAAGGAATGAACGAGCCTCTCTCGTTTCCTCTCGCATTCTTATTGCACATCGCATCATCCTTCTTTAACGCTATGTCTCGTTTCTATCTCGCTCTACTTTGGCCCTCACCCTCGATCACCCTCGGAAAAGGGCACTTGCTTTCGCCCCTTTGTTCTCACGCTCTCGGATCCGGAGAGTCGTTCATTCGCTCGCTTTGCCTATCCCTATACTGATGCCTCGTATCACGGGCTTCTTTTTTTCAAACGCACCCTCTTCCCTTTATTCTCGCACAATCTCAAATTCTTAAATTAATATCACGCGTAGTTCCGATGACTGTCATCAAAGGGAATGTGCAAAAAGATCGAATAAATCGTGTGTAAATATTAGTCATCGCGCAAAACAACACGATCATTGAAATTTGAAGGCGGATTTCTGAGTTTCCTAGATTACTTTTCGACCTTGAAATCGACTCCCGCATTAAACCATCGTCGGGTCGACTCAGTTACCAAGAAACTTCATCCTCTGTCGCGAAAGTGCTGACCATTTCGGGTGGGTATGGGGCGAGGGTCAAGGCGGAGGACGAGAGAGCGAAGACCAAAGTCCTTTTCTGCTAGAAGAATGAGGGTGGGGATGGACCGGCCTCGAACGTTGCGGGGATGCACGTGGAGAGGGATGCGACGAGGTGTCTCCCCCGCCACCTCCTCCCCTAGCCACGAGACAGGAAATTCGCGAGCGCGGAACGCCGACGAGAGAGGGAAGGGAAAGAAGGGAAGGTGTGTGGTGGTGTCGTCGTGGGTTAGTAGCGAGAGCGCGATTCGCGCGCTTGCGCACTTTTTTCCGGCAGCGGCGGCGGCAAACGTCTGTCTCTTTCTCTCCCTCTCTCTTTTCTGCTGCTCATCGTCATCGTCATCATTGCT